ACACTGAAATGAAAAAGGAATCAACACTCTTTGGGTCAGTTTCAGTTCCTGTGTGCTCTCACAGTGACAGCATCTTGTAATGCTGAATGGTACTCATCGTGACCCTGAAATAATCCATTTCATATGGTACCCAGACCAAGGTTGGGTGAAAAAAAAGGCTCTTGGCTTTATTGAGAAATGGTATGTTAGCTTCCAACATGTTGTATAAATGTTGAACACTCTATTTGGTAAACTATATAAGGAATTTTCAAAGGTAATTTTGACTATACATCATTTTGCCTTACATGTTGATTTCGTAATTTTAAAACAGAATCTCTCTGTAGCTGTAATACATCCATCCAGTCATCACCCAAGTATCCAACTTATATTAAATACCCTCTAAGTGTTAAGCACAGTTTGGTAGATGCTGAGAAAAAAAAGGTTAATGGTTTGAATATACACTGAATTATCCAGGAATACAATTACCATGTAAATGTATATTTTGTTTTGTTTGGAACTCTGTCAAAAATTGTTCAGCTTTTGGGAAAGTCACATAACCAACAGCAGTTACTTTGGTTTTGTTTCTCCCTTTATTTTACTGTATGGCATTACATTAAGTATAAATAGTGTATTAGTTTCCTATGGCTGCTGTAACATATTATCACACACTTGGTGGCTTAAAACAACAGAAATTTACTCCATCACAGTTCTGGAGGCCTAGTTTCCCTGGGTTAAAATCACAGTGTCAGCAAGGCAATGCTCCCTCCAGAGAGTCTAGAAAGAATCTGTTCCTCACATTTCCCTGCTTCTGGTGACAGCTAGCATGCCTTGATCTGCGGTCATATCACTCCTATCTCTGCCTTTGTGTCACAATGCCTTCCTCTCTTCTGTCTGTGATCTCCCTCCATGACACATGTGACTGTGTTTAGAGTTCACCAGGATAACCTCCCCATATCAATGTCTTTAACTTAACCATAACTGCAAAGTCCTTTTTCGCCATATAAGTTAACATTCACAGATTCCAGGGATTAGGATATGGATATCTTTTCGGGGGCCAATATACATCCCACCACTGGAAGGTTACATACCTCTAGGAATTTCATTTCAGATAGTAAAGGGAGCACCTAGAATTTTTTTTTCATAAAAGGAAGGTACTGCGATGGATTGTGCTGAGAATCCCTGTTCTAGAGAGTTTAAGCAAAAAAACCCCAAAAAACAAAATGCAGAGCTAAGGGGCCATTTTACTCCTTATTTCCTCATCATCGTTAAAAATTAAAATTCTTATAAAAATTGTAACCTTCTTTTAGAAAGAGGAAGATAGGGGACTGCGTTCTCTTTCTCAGTAAGTTTTAAGAATGACCAAAATTCTCTTTGGAAGTAACAAAGTGGTGAATCTCAGTATCTACCTTGACTCTTTTCAACCACCTTAGTGCCTTCTCTCTGCCTCAATAAAAACTCCAAATTCCTTAGGATGTGACACTTGTCTATCTCTTTAGTTTCATTTTCTTCTCTGTACATTGTGCACAAATAATAGTAAACTGTTTTTTGTACTTTGAGTAAAATATGCAGTATATGCCTTTGTACCTTTGTATATGCTAGAGTATTCTTTTTTGCTTGTCTGTTAGTCAAATTCCTTTTCAGCTTAGTCCTCCGTTAAAATTTACTGACCCTCAATCCCCAACTCAGACAATCAAATCACTACCTCCTCTGAGCTATCACTGCACCTTACACATATTTAAATTATTACACTCATCACAATAGATCATAAATTATTTGCTTGTATATTTGTCTCCCTTATTAGACTATACGTTTTTTCAGGGAAGGAAGTGATTCTTATTTATCTCTGTATTCTTAATAGATAAGAGTACTGAATGAATGAATGAATGAATGAATGAATGAATGAAAGAACGAACATCTATCCTGGGCTTTAGTTCTAGGACCTGTCTATCTAGATATACTACAAAGTCCATGCATACAAAACTGAACTCATTTTTATTTTGAACCAACACCTCCTGCTGTACTCTTGTCTCTGTTACTGACATTATCAATAACCGAGTATCCCATGCCAGAAATCTGAGAAGCATCCTTAGACATCTCCTTCGCCTTTACTCTGCACATTCAGTTATCAGCTCCTCTCAATTATAACTCCCCCACATTCCTTAGCCTCTTTCTTTTATTCCCCTTGATCATGCCTTGTTTCGATCTCCCATTATTTGATTCTTAGACCTCTGTAACATCCAGGCCTGATTGCTAACCTACTCGGGTATTGTTAGTAAAAATTAGAGCTAGACAGACAAATGAGGAAGGCACTCCCTTTGGAAAGAAGGAACAGGATTTCCATTCTAAACACAATCCCAAGGGCAAGCATGGAGGTGGCTCTTAGATCTGCTGCTCAGTTGTTGTCTGGGAAATTCCCTTTCTCTCCTGTGCTACATCTCCCATTTCCTTTGATACTCCCTAACTTTGTTAAATGGCATCTTCCACTGATTACTAAGCAAGGATGCATGAGAGAGAATTTTTGAGTTCTTTCATGTATGAAAATGTCATTATTCCACCTTCACATTCAAATGATAGTTTAACTGGGTATAGAATTCTATATTGAAATCATTTTCCCCAGAATTTTGAAGGTCATCCTCAGACTAGTATGAAGGACATGGAAGAGTGGTTACTTGAGAGGACTACAGGGAAAGCAGTGTTCTCACATGACTTAGGTTCTCATAGGGTAAGAAAGTGAAGGAAATGTTTAGAGAAGAGTCGAGTACATAGGAGTTTTGCTTCTGACTGACCAAAGTGTAAGGGTTTCCGGATTTGGGGAGAAATGGAAGATGAGGTCAAAATATGGATGACAGAGCCATGTAGGATGAGTCTGGGAAATGAAGGATAACCTAGGACTCCTGAAGTGACTGACAAAAATTGAAGTAAAAGGTATAATGTAAGTAATCCAAATGATCTCAAGGCAAATAAAGGTAATAATTAAGCGAATAGTGGAGACCGGGGACTAGGGAGTAGGGATTTGACCAGAAGCATGCAGAGTTCTAGAACTCTCATTCCCTCCAGGGGAAAGGGATGTGGAGGCCAGAGGAGGGGAGCTATGAGTTTATTCCCAGGACACAAATGTTTTCCCAAAGAACTGCAATGAGCCAACTGTTTCACAGCAATGTGTACAACATCTTGCAATCCTGAAGGGTTTTGCCCCAGTGAGAACTCGATAATAAAAGTTAGTACCTACCAAGGATCTGGCATTTCATATACGTTATTTTATTTCATTCTCACAACAATCCCAAGAGGAAAGTATTATGATTACCACTTTATAGGGGACAAACTAAGGCTAGAGACCTTATATGCTACCTCAGCTCCCACAAAAAGTCCTGACAGACCTCAAACCCTATATAAAATCTAAAATAGCAGAATTTCATATGAAGAAGTCCTTTATTTTTATAAAGATAAATATTTCTCTTCACCTTTTACCCTCCAAATAAATAAAGTTCTTTTGTAGAGATTTATAATAGCCCTTTCTCAGACCATTCAATTCTATATAAGCATAATATTACTTTATGATAGTCCAACAAACTGAAAAGATAATTTAGTTACATTTTATTCTCTAGTATATTTTTTAATAGCCTACCTCCACAGAGAATTTTACAATGACTGAAGAAATTCAATCAACAGAAGGTGCATCAGTGTGTATGAAGAACCATGAAGAAGTTAGTTCATGGACCAAGTAAGCTACAAATATCAAAAAAAAGAAAAAAAAGAAAAAAAAGAAAAAGAAAGAAAGAAAGAAAAATAGCAGTTTTCACTTTATATGCACCAAAGTTACAGAAAAGAACAACAGATAGCATCATAATTTTAAAATTAAAAGTAGATAAATTGAAGGAAAACAAATATTTAGCATTACTTGAAAATATTCATAAATTGAATATTTCTCCCAAGTAACTGAAATAAAACAAAACATTTAATTGTGAAAACATAATTGCCACATAATTGACTAACATTAATCTTTTAGTAGAATCCATAATAAAACAACCTATTAAGATGCCAGATAACCATTACAATTAAATAAAATAATTTTTTCACAAAGAGCAAAATTTCAAAACATCATAAAAATTCCAGTGAAGTTTCAGGATTTACAAATGTACTTCTTTTAATGCTATTATGGCTGAATTTGGGATGCTACTATGAACAACTTGTTACTTTGAGATTACTATTTACATTGTTTCCTAGTACTTTTATCTGTCTGCATTTGCCCAAGCCCCTTGAAAGCAGGGGCGTATGACTTTAGGTTGATGGCCAAAGGCATTAGCACAAATTACAGCTCTGAACTATGGATCTTAAATCGGCTATGTGGAAAAATCACCAGATGACTTGTTAAAAACATATTCCTGAATCCCAACTTAGATTTTGGGAATTAGAATCTCTGAGGCTTAGAAATCTTCACTTATATATAAAAATCTGCAGGTGTGTCTGATGCATAGACAGACTTTAGGAAAATAGACTAAAGTTGTGGATATAGAACTATGTTCTGAAGAGTCTTAAAACTCAAGAAATACCTTTGGGCATCTTTCACCTGTTTCAGCCAGAATAATCCCATTTTTCTCTATTTTATGTACCTATTTTGGGAAGGTGTTCTCCTCAAGGAAATGATCATGCTAGGGGAAACATGGTCAGAATGAACACCTGTCTACTGCTTCTCCACAAATATAAAGTTTGGATTCCTTGAACTCCTTTCAGGTCCTTCCCCCAATATACTCTAACCCAGAAAACTATGTTGTGTGTTGTGAAGGCAGGCGAGAACGCTAGTTTCCTCCTCCCATCCTGTCCTTGGATATTCTCTAATAGAACTAAGTCGATACAGCCTGTTCTTTTATATTCTCTTGGCCTATATATTCTCCATTTCAACCACCCTACCTGATAATAACATATGCCCACTGGAAATTAGATTTGAGACATCCTATCTTGTATGTGCATACGATCTCAAGGGGCTGCTTCATCAGATAAATCAATATAATGTTTTTACTTACCTGTCTGAATACACATGCTAAGCAGAAGATAAACTGAGAAAGAAGCCAGGAGAGCAACTATCAGCAGCAAGAAACTAAAATATAAAAGAGTAAATAGTCAAACTCCCCTAAAAGTTTCTTTTTAATGTTATCTTATTACAATGACAATTTTTTTCACATTCAAATGTTCATAAGGACTTTGAGTAGTTGGATTACAGTCATTAAAGGAAGTACTTTTCTGTATTTACTACATTTTATTTAAATGAAAAGTATACTGCTTGTAAAATAAAAAAATCAGAAAGAAACAAACTTTATTTAAAATAAAATTTCCTACTTTAGCACTCTTTGCTGACTGCTGATTCAGCCATTCAATGATTTTACAATATTTCCCTTTTATGACTATTTGTTCCTATTCTAAGTCTAAACAAAAGTTTTAGTTGTGAAATCTCATTGCATTCTCTCTACTTCCCCTCAACCCGCCCCTTAGAATGATATGTATCTCTCTATCATGTCTTTATTTATAACATTGAATTAAGACTATATTTCCTAGCATCTATTAAAAACACACAATCACCAAACCAACTCTCCCCTGCCCCCAAAAATGCAGTTAACATACTTCTAATGACACAATTTGAAAAATGTGCAAACAATGTGTTAATTGGGGTCCTCTAACAGTGTGAAAAGAAACAACAGGCATAATCCCTTTCTTATTCAGAGGATGATACTGACAGGACAAGTTTCTACAAAGCTGTCCACAGTGGTTCTCTTTGTGGTTCACGTAATACTTGTTAATAAGAAGCAAAAGGAAAGGTGAACATATATTTGTCAGTAAACTGACATCCAAGACATCACAAAATCACAGTTTGGTGTCACCATATGAAAACTGGGATGTGTGATATGATTCAGCGAGCACACCTTCAGTGGTATACATCCGCACACATCTGCACGTAAGACGCTGGAGTATAAAACATGGTTTTTCAAAGGGAACCATAAAATAAGTCCTATGATTATGTATTATCTAAGGTGTCACATATAGTTTTGAAGTTTTAAAATTATAAAAGTTTCTGAATATATCTCATAATAAAAGCAGGTTGAGTTACTTAAGAGTTGGTTTGCTTATCAAGAAATTCAAAATAAAACAAACAAAAAAAGAGACTCTAGTTATTTTAAATTTCCTAGTAAAATAGGTCTGTGTCTACTAATAAACAAACTTGATCATTCATTCTATTAACCATGGTGCTACATGCTAAAGATAAGGTCCAGTTCTAAAGGATTTCAGAGTTTAGTGGTGGAACTAACTTGTAAACAAATCATTATATTACATTATAATAACAATGAATATACAAAGTACTATGGGAACATAGAAAAGCCAGGAATGTCTTTTACTTGGGGCAATTGGCATATGAGCACAGTCTTGAAAGATAAAAGGAATAGGCACAGAACACATGTCTGGTCTCAGAAAGGAAACAAGATAGTAGGAGGAGAGTAGGAGATAGAGAGAAATGAAAAGATTATGTGCTTTACTTCCACTCATAAAATTGCTATTTATAAGGAATCTGCATGGTTGATAAATTTTGACTCACGTTGGCCAACTTGACACAGCAAATAAGCCAATTCTTAAGGTTATGAACAAGTGTGAATCAAGTTTCCATTCTTTAAAATTAGCCAAACTTTTGGATAAAGAATGCGAATTATATAGCATCTCTACAAGCTACAGACTAGCAACAATATAAGAATACCAGGAAAATGCTAAAACCCAAGAAATGATTTAACCAGAAACTGTAAACACCAGCTTCTGGAGCCTGTTTGCTTCTCACTGTACTATCAAAATGGGATGGGGGGGTAAATAATGGTAAAATAAGAAAAAACTCACCTAAATCCAAGGATACCAGTGTGAGCCATAACATAAGCTAAGCCAAGGATGCCACTTCCCATGATGGCATTCATCAAATTAAACACTGAGAAGCCAAATGAAACACCTGGGGATCCCTGTCTGTGAAGCTCCTGTAAACACACAAATTTAATACTGTCAAATATTTGGATGGTGAAGTTTGTTTCATCAAGAAATGAAAGATTTTGAGAAAATCCCCTGCAAACCACAGGTATTGTGTGACACACTAGTCGTTCGGTCAGCACTGGTTTCCTTTCCTTTCCTTTCCTTTCTTTTCCTTTCCTTTCCTTTCCTTCTCACCTCTCTCTAGCTCCAGGAACCTAGTTTCCTAGGAAAATCTCCACCAATACAAAAGCCAGGTAGGCTTTCGGGAAGAGCCATGATTAATCTTGGGACTGCAAAAGATGAAGATAGGATAGGAATGGCGTGGGGACAGAGGAAGCAGATGGCTTCAGCTCATGTGATTACTGAAGAATTCCTGAGTCATCTTGGGGCTGCTGTAGACAAGTGTTGCTCCCCAATTACTAGTACTGCAAAACCAATCTCTATTTATATACTCAATTAATTATATACTCAATTAATTCCTTCCGCCCAGCTGGAAGGAAGGTTAGGAATACACTACAAACGATATTAGAAGCAATTCACGTTGCTCTGGCGAGGATACCCTGAAAACACTCTCACCCAAAACAGCATTTAGGAACAGAGTCTTAGAAAATGTTACAGTCTGGGGACTTGAGTTAAAAAGCCGAGTGCCTATTGCACAGGCTTTAGGGTCAGGGAAGCGCTATGTGCCCCAATGACTAAGTTGAGAAAAGAAAAATCTTGTGACTCTTGCAAAAACCTCACAAGACTGGTGGGGGAAACAGGAAGCTGACAAACATACTAAAAAACAGCAGTGAGCTCCTTAACCCTCGGGCTGCTCCTCTAGTCGGGTCCTCCGCTGCACCTGTTCCACCTGAGCTTGCACCTTTACGTCGGCTTTTCTTCCTAGGGCAGGTTAGACTGCTATCACAGACATGAACTCCGCCGGGTCGCATGTGAATCTCGGCTGCTGACTTTGGTCCCCCTTCCCCAAGCTTTACCCCTCTTCCCGTGCCATCCCCCTTCTTTTCCCGGTCTCATTTGGCAGGCAATTCAGGGAAGCCGGGTGGGCCTTGCCTTCAGCAAGCGGCGCCAACTTACGTTGCTTAGCAACGGGCTCAACTCTTCCGCCTCCGCCTCGTCCGGCCGCTGGGCAGAGACATACCAGCCCCGCTCGACGTTGGCGAGTCCCCAGGGTGCCTCCATGCTGCTCGCTGGCCGACGTCCAGGTCCATCTGCGAGCTGCTACCCTTGCCCTCGCGTAGTTAGTCGCGCCAGAGGCGGAGCAGTCAGCCTGGCCCTTCCGGGTTCCCGTACCTCACCAGGGCCGGGAGGAAGGGAGGACATTGACGTGATCTGATGACGCTCGCCTCGCGGCGGCGAACAGTAATGATGTAGTTCAGGGCCATCCCGACCCACCAGCGACCCATTTCCGAGCTGCACCAGAGCATGAGGTGAGGGGTCTGGTCGCGGAGCCAGCTGCAGAGCGACGCTACGAATTAGGGTGGTGACCTTGGTGAGGTTGGGGCCACGATGCCCTTGATTGTTCCAAGGAGCCGAGGGTCTGGTGACGGTACACGTCTGTCCGGAGCTGCTCTCCCTCTCCGCCTCGGGGTGCCTGGGCGCGGACACGTCGCGAGGTCACCCACCGTCCCGGGTGCTGAGTCCGGGTCCGAGTGCTGGGTAGTGAGGAATTTAATCTTTCCCAAAGCTTTCTGGTAGATCATTTAGCCACATTTTACACGTGGGGAAATCGAGACTCAGACTTAAGTAATTTACCTAATATCACACAGATGGTTAACTGCTAGACCCAATTTGAACCCTGGCTGTGAAGTTTGAAATTTGCTTTACAGGATTCTGGGGAGGGCTCTTTCCTCATATAATTACTTCTTTGGCATTCTAGGAGGAAAAGTGAATAACTGATACTCTTAATGGCATGTGTATATAACACTCAGTAAAGTCCTCGTCCTCAAAATACTGAAACCTCTAATTATAGGCAGGACTTGTAGCAAGAAAGTGTTCACTGAATTCACTCATACCTGGGTTTTAATCCTTGCCCAAACACTTACCAGCAAGGAGACTGGGTGAGTTAACCTACTTCTGCACTTTAGTTTACTCATTTACAAAAATGAAGATGCAGTACCACACACCTCCCAAAATTTATAGTGTGTAAAGCATTTATCACAGCATCTGACACAATAAGCACCCATAAGAATATCCTAGTAAATACTGCCATAAACATAAGATTATTTCATTTAGAGATATACTTTAACTCAAATCTCAGTTCCAACCCTAAATGTATTCTGTAGCAAATTGTGGAAAGAGAGGGTCATTAAGCCCTCAATCTAGCAGCAGGTGGGTTGAAGGTGCAAATTTATTATGTACCACTATAAAAGTCATTCTGTCCTGGAAAAGATAGTATACTTCTCACACACCACTAAAAGTTTTAATTACCAGCATTTAGCAGACTACGTAAAACAATATAGATTTTTATTCTTAAAACTTATTGTAAACATGTAAGTTGGTTTGTAGCTTTATGGCATTTTTTTTTTAATTGAATACCTTTTTTTTTAGGATCTTATGGAGGCCATTTGGATTAAGAAGACTTCTCAAAGTGGAAAGCTGTAGACTAACTGAATCAGAATCATTGATTCCACTAGCTTGGACATCACTGATACAGAAACTTAGCAGAGCACCTGGTATTTTCTCGTTGGATCAAAGAAAAAGATTTTCAACTATGCCTGAAATAGAAACAAGTCAGAGAAACTCTGAATTGTTTTCACCACCCTCTGATGTTCGAGGAATGACAAAACTTGATAGAAACGCTTTTAAAAAGACAGTCACCATCCCAGTGCTTAAAGTGAGGAAAGAAATTGTTAGTAAATTGATGCGATCCCTTAAAAGGGCAGCACTGCAGCGCCCAGGCATAAAACGTGTGATTGAAGATCCAGAAGATGAAGAAAGTAGACTAATTATGTTGGATCCCAATAAAATGTTTACTGAGGATTCCTTTGAGAAAACAGAACTCAGTATTTTAAAGCAGCTTAATGTCAATCCACAGATATCTAAATATAATTTGGAACTAACTTATGAAAACTTTAAGTCAGAAGAAATCTTGAGAGCTGTGCTTCCTGAAGGTCAAGATGTGACTTCAGGGTTTAGCAGAGTGGGACATATTGCCCACCTGAATCTTCGAGATCACCAACTACCTTTTAAGCATTTAATTGGTAGGTGTGTCCTAGAAAGTCATATACTAGAAAGCAATTAGCAAGTTCTAATTTTAGTTTTTAAAATTATTTTTTAAATGCTAGATTATAAAAGTACAAGACACTTTATTCATACTTTAGCTGATTCAACTAATTATGCTCCTTCTATGTGTCAAGCACCATACTTTTTTAGTGCCCCTAGCCCTTTTAGAAATGATAATTGTGTTTGTCATATTTCTGAAGCCCTAAGTTTGAACCTGGATTCTTTATTCTTTAGGAGAAGAAAGTAGAAAACTAATCACAATTGCACTTTCCTTATGTGAATATTTGATGTTCATGCATTCTCCAGATTAATCATTTTAATGTAGAATTATTGTCAGAACTTCTGGGAATTATTTTCAGCTTTAAAATGTAGTACTCAGTATTTTGCATGGGTAGGATTTCAGAAATATTCTATTAATGCATTTTGTTTTTGATGAAAGGAGTTGATAATGCATAGTGATAACATAGTAAATACTTAAGCAAATCTTAATTATGACTGGGTGCAGTGTCAAATCTAGGCTTTCCTATGAGTCACTGCCTATCCTCAGACATCCCTTTTGTCATTCCTACGTTATAAACTCTCATAAAGGGGCACTCATAGATTAAAAGTGAAATATTTTCATGCAGTGGTATTTTTAAAACTTTTACTATAAACTTTCAGAATAAGTTGTGTGGTTTTTTTTTTTTAATTCATTCCTTATTTCAAACTAACTTCTATACCTTAAAACTTGAGTTCTGGTACCTGAAGCAGAACAGGATAAGAACAGGATAATGATTGACTGGAATTTATTGATATCATATTCAAAATCAGGTATCAGAGATAAATTGGACAAATTCAGGTTGTATTTTAGCATATTTGTATTACTGAGTACTCTCTACTAACTTACATATCAAATTCTCTCTCTTTATGCAGTGAGATAGCATATAGATTCGTACAAATTTTTTAACTGCTGACAAAAAAGTGCACTTTGATTAAAGGGCATCAATATACCTACCATTTCTGGTATATTTTGTTATCTTTGTAGTTTTTTTCTGGTGTGGCAAATTTTTGACAAAACGAACAATTTAAGTAAGTGAACATTTAATTTAGATAAGACTAAAGAATTTATGTTTCCTATATTTGAAAGCATTATTTTGCTGGTATATACTTCCATAGTGTTACCAGTTCCCTATGGTCTACCTTTTTGCTTATTGGTATATTTGAGATTTATTTTAAAAACATGGAAAAACAGTAGGTAGACCTAAACTCCTCAAAATTGTTTCCTTAATAATGTACCTATACATTTTTTTGTGTGTTTGTATTGGAGGCTCGGGCATTAAATTTAGTAATCTTGAATTCTGAGAACTGCATACCACTTTACACACACTAGATGCAGTTTTTATCAATGAACCAAAAGAAAATACAGTTCATTTCCATTTCATATTTGCAGTTTTAGTTTTTATTTTGTAATCATTAGGCAATATTTGTTATGAATTGTCATCTTTAGGTCAAGTTATGATTGACAAGAATCCAGGAATCACCTCAGCAGTAAATAAAATCAATAATATTGATAATACATACCGAAATTTCCAAATGGAAGTACTATCTGGAGAGGAGAACATGATGACCAAGGTATGGAGTATTTTATTGTCTCCTAGCATGTTATATTTCAAGATTAATGTTTAGAATCAGAATAGATGACAAAGATTGAAATATTTTTAATACCCAGTATTGACTATGTAAGAATGTGAACATTTACATATGTTATAGATGAGAATGCAAATTTAATACATTAAGGAAGAGTGTATGGTAATTGCAATTTTGAATGGGTGTATCCTTTGACCTAGCATCCCATTTATGGGATGACGTTATCTCAAGGACATAATTAAAATTGTAATGATGTATGTATTAGGTTCTTCATCAATATTTTTATAATAAAATAAATAAAAGAATGGAAAAAGCCTAAATGTTCATCAGTAAATTTAATCAACTTAATTGATTAAATTCTAGTATAATAATAAAATGGAATAGTCCATCATAAAAGGTTATTTAGCTCCATACTTATTAAAATAAATTACCCATTGACAGGTTAAGTGACAAAAAAACCAAGCCGTAGAACACAGTTCAATTTTAACTAAATAATCTATGTAAATATGTACATATATTAGAACATTAACAGTGGGCCCATTTTTATTTGATGTAGTTATTGGTGACCTTTGTTATCATTATACTTTCCTACTGAGCACATATTTCTTTTATAAGAAAAAACAATGTATTTTTCATAAGAAAAAATAAAATTTTCTTTGAAAATTATTTCAAAGAAATAATATGTAGGAACAGATTCCTAGTATAAAATACTTTCTCATCCTCCACCCCCAAAATCCTCTAGAGTGCTGGATATAATAAACATTTTTAAGACTTTGTGAAATTTTGTACCCAACCTAAAAAATAGGCTAAACTCTCTCTATAACTTGACAAAAGTTTTAATAACAAAGGCCACTCTTAAATGTTAGATATATCTTTTAAATAGGACTTTATAAAACTTGGGACAGAGTGTATGCAAAGTAATTATTTTTTAAGATTCTAGGCTACATAGACCTAGATGAATATTATTTTATTATTTCTCCATAATTTAATAGTATCAGAATATTAAAATACCATTTACTACACACACTTACTTGTTAGGCCCTGAACTAAATGCTTGGAATGTAACAAATTCTAAGATGCCCACAAGATAATGGTGGTTTTTATTAATATTCTCTTTATGTAGATGAAGTAACAAGGAATGACTGAGCAGGGTATTTGGAGCCAGGCTTCTAACTCCAGAGTCCATGCATGATCTTTCTCTATATACCAGACCTCCACTGCCTACTGCTTGTGTAAAATATATGAGGCCTGTCATGACAAGTAAGATTCGAATGTGAATCTTTTGGTAATAACAGTGCTTATCTCAACTGACATTAAGGTATACCCTGATTAAATATGGTATATGTTCACTTGGTACTGACCCTAAGGGTAACAGGTAACATCATTCTTCTCAGAAAGATCTAAAAGTTCTGAGAAACTTCTGTAATTTTATAAATGCCTTGTATTTGATTTCCTAAGTCAATAAAGTTTGTTCTTAGGATATGTTTTTATACCTACTATTTACACCATAATATTAATTAGCTGAAATTAATGCTGAGGGAGAGAGCAAAGACAGCATAAGTAAAACCAGAGGGTACTTAGCATTTAATTTTAAAAGTAGATCTGTGCTTCACATTACAAACCTTAAAAGGGGAGTAGAAAGATTTCAGGAAAAGCATTCACAAGACATACTTAAACCTTCCAGGTTATATACCCAAAACTACTTTCAGTTGGCAGAATCATGGAAACATTCTCAATTCTAGAACCTTAATAATATGGCCAGAGCGTCTAATGTGGTTGAAAGAAAAAAATATGTACAAATTTAGAATTAACGTCCATGAAAGCAGAATATAGAAGATATAGCTCTATCGGATTTATAGAACTTTCTGACCTTTGTTTCTTTATAAGTTAAAATTGGGAAAGGAGAAAATAGGAGAATGATTTGTTCTACACACTGGCTCTAAACTTATAGACATGAAACTTGCAAAGTCCAAGTTACTGTCTAAAAACATAGCAAAATACCTGAAAATTCATTGACACATGACACATCTATCATGCCTCCCTCTTACAAACTGAAAGCTAAATAAGGAGGGCAGCTTGTTTGCTGTGTGGAAGTGCTGTCTGCTACTTAGCTACACACCGTGAAGATACATGTGGTGTGTTGTTTTAAATGTTAGGATTTTTCCTCTCTATCTGGTCACTGAGTATAATTAAGCCAGTAAATTGGCCTATCTGAAAAATTCCTCATGTGATTTGGGACCACTTTATGACCCTTTAGGATGAGATAGAGGGCCATTTGGCTTTGAAGAGATGACTTCTCATGAAAAAGTCTAATGCAAGATATTAACTGGCCTAAAGTAAAGCATAAATACCAGAATTCTAATTAAAATGCCTTTAAATGTATTGTTATTTGCTCGCAATAGTAATAAATTGAAATATGTCTATGTGGGTGCAGCTCTCCATAATCAGTGGCTGAAATTTAAGACTAAGCTCATTGACCGAAAGCATAATACCTTTTTCAGGTTCGAGAAAACAACTACACCTATGAATTTGATTTTTCAAAAGTCTACTGGAATCCTCGTCTCTCTACAGAACATAGCCGTATCACAGAACTTCTCAAACCTGGGGATGTCCTATTTGATGTTTTTGCTGGGGTTGGGCCCTTTGCCATTCCCATAGCAAAGAAAAACTGCACTGTATTTGCCAATGATCTCAATCCTGAATCCCATAAATGGCTACTGCACAACTGTAAGTTAAATAAAGTGGACCAAAAGGTAAAAGTCTTTAACTTGGATGGGAAAGACTTCATCCAAGGACCAGTCAGAGAAGAGTTAATGCAACAGCTGGGACCACTGTCAAAAGAAAGAAAACACTCTGTGCACATTGTCATGAACTTGCCAGCGAAGGCTATTGAGTTTCTTGATGCTTTCAAATCACTTTTAGATGGGCAGCCATGCAGCAGTGAGCTCCTCCCCATGGTGCACTGTTACAGCTTTTCCAAAGATGCTAACCCTGCTAAGGATGTTCAACAACAAGCTGAAGCTGCATTAGGCCTTTCCTTGGATGCATGCAGTTCAGTTCACCTAGTAAGAAATGTTGCCCCTAACAAGGAAATGTTATGCATCACCTTTAGGATACCTGCTGCTATACTCTACAAGAACCAGACCCTAAATCTAGGTAAGAAATTTATGGGAAATTAAATGTAAACTATAATCCCGTTCATGTAGCTTTCTTAGGCTATATGTATATTATTTATTAAATTTGGAACAGGTTAAACTAATTCTAGTTAGATATTTCAGTTTAAGACTCCTTGCCATGTGTGACTACTTTCTCTGAATTTTACAAATTTTAGTATGATACACTATTCAGCCTAGTAGAAGGCTATTTCATTAAAATAATAAATCCACAGGAATGTTACTATTTCATGTATAAGTTGAAAAGATTAAAAATTTTTAAATGCCTATATTATTTACTTTTAAAAGTATTTTCAAATGTTAAGCATCTTATCTAATATAGATTTTCTGGATTTGTTTCAGAGAATCATGAAGATCCACCTCTCAAACGGCAGAGGACAGATAAAGCCTTTTCAGAAGAAAAAATACAGATTGCTTAAATCACTTAACTGGAAATGTCTTCTCCATCTCCCCATTATATCATTATGTAGTGAAATATGATTTTTATGATTTCATAAAATCTTAGCAGTTACTGTAGTATTGAACTGTTATATTTTACCCTTGCTGTCTTATAAACTGAGGATTATCAAATTAAAATTTAAATGAAATAAGCCTACTAAACATTTATTTTGTCTAAGTTATAACATTAATTTTATAATCTAAATTATAACTAATTATTTTATTAAATATGTCTATCTCTTGGGAAAATAGTTTCTGAAGGTACGGTAATTGTGTGCTAACTAGGAAAGCACTAATCACTTTGGTTATCCTTTGAAGAATATAGCTGAGTTTTGTATAAATACTCTTATACTATCACTATAAAAGTAATAAAAATTAGATTTAGATCAGGAATAGGCAAACCACGGCTGGCAGACCAAATCTGGCCCGCCACCTGTCTTTGTATGGCAAGTTGAGAATGGTTCTTACATTTTCAAATGATTGATAAAGAATCAAAATAATAACATTTTGTGATGTGAAATTTGACTTTCAGTGCCCATAAAGTTTTGCTGGACTACATCATGCTCATTTGTTTACTGTCTGTGCCTGCTTTCCTGGACTAACAGGAGAGTTGAGTAGTTGTAACACAGGATGTGATTCTCATCTCTCATCACTTCATACTGCTGCTCAACACACCACAAATACCAGTAATAATTCAATAGTATTTTGAGTACTATTTTGAGTATATCACCAAGCTATAACATTTTATTTTGTTATCACTGGTATAGACTCATCATTTCAAAACAAGAAAAATGGACTTCTAATGTTGTGTTTTTAAGGTATAATAAAGTGTGAATTATTTTGATGTAGAATCAGGTGACAAAGCATCTATACCTGAGCTAAAATACAGTATACACTGATATTACCAAAAGAAGCACTCATAACTATTTCCAACTCTAAAGCAAGCAACTGTCAGAAAAATTAGAAATTTAAACTAGAAATGTCACAGCAGAATTTCTTTACAAAATAAAAAACGAAAACGAGGTTGAAACCAAAGTAAGTCTCCAAATGACTCTTATAAGCCAAGCAAGAAAACCCATTTGCTAATGGTGAATTGTGTTTAAATGCAGCAGCCAAAGAAATGTGTCCAGAGAAAGTAAACTTTTAAGACTATTGGCCTTTGGCAAGAACAATTGCTCAAAGATTTGAGAACATTGGGAGCAATGTCAACAGTCAAAAAGGTTAACAAGTCCAAGTGGTTCTTTGACACTTGATGAGTTGATAGATGTTATAATATTGCTCAGTTCTTATTTATTTGAGGCATCAAAGCTGAGTTTTAAGTTATTAAAGAGTTAGGCCGTGAATACTCTGCAATAGAACAACTACAAGTGAATATTTTCAAAGAAGTTGAGAAAACACTAATTCTGTACAACCTGAAGTAGAATCTGCTAAGATGTTATAACTGATGTTTGGTAAACATGTGAGAGGTAGAAAAAACCTAGTTGGAGAAATTTACAAAGCTTTGTGAAATTCTAACATGTTTAAAACCTATGGTTAGTCACTATCCACCAGCAAGTACCTTGCAGAAAATTTTTGACTACCATGTGTTACTGAACCAGTAGTGTCAATAGTAAACTTTGTTTTCATAGATGTTAACCATCCTGAAGTCCTTGAATTTTGTCAGAAATTGAAGCTGAATTTCCTGACTTGCTCAACCTAAGTTTGGTTTGGTTAGCGAAGTTTGATTGCAATTTTTTTTTTTGAGTTCAAGGTCAAGTCTAAAACTTTTCTTAACTAAAGAACCACCCTTAAACACTATTCTAGAACACTGAATGGCTTTGGAAATTAGCTTTTACTAAAGACTTGATAATATTTCTTAAAGATTTCAACCTACAATTACATGGCAAACAACTTTAATATGAAACATACTGCAGTTATTTCAACAACAGACATGTGAATCAATATCCTGTGTTAAACATTTCTCATGCTATCAAAAATTAAAATGAAACAAGATTTCTATTCTCACACTAATTAGTAGTGGATATACCTTCTGAATTTAGCTTTTTTGGGACCTCTGTGCAAATGCAAAGGAAATTTCTATATTTCAAAATACATTTAGCTATGATTGAGCTTCCACCTAATCTTCAACTGGAAGTGAATAACGTGCTATGTAATGACATACTAAAAGGCAGATTACCAAGGGAAAAATGTAACAGTTTTACAAATGCTTTCCAAATGATTAATATACTCAGTTAAAATCATATGCTCCTGGATTGATATCAGCATTTGGCACTATCTATCTGTGTGAAAAGACATTTTAAAAAGTGAAATGTGTAAAATCTCACTGCAGAAAACCATTAACTGGTGATCATTTACAATTGATTTTGATGATAGGAAACACTTAGAACCCGAATTAAAGGAAATGTTATTCCCCAAAAAAGGACATTAAAAAAATGTACTGAATTTTATTTTGAATTTTATTTAACATCTTGTTATGTAAGTACTTACTTTAATGTCCTCGATTTTGCCTCTTAGCCCACAAAGTTAAAATATTTACTGTCTAGCCCTACAGAAAAAAATTGAAGACCCCCGATCTAAATCATTAATTACAAACTCAAATGCCTTTCAGAAGCCAGGCAGTAGATAAAGGCAATAGAGGGTAAGAAATGTAAGAAAGTAATGAATTGGACCTTCATTCTTTATCTAAAGGCACTTAAAATTATTTTGAAACACAACTCAATCAACCTGCAAGATTTTGGGGGCTGATTCAGCTAGAGATTGCTAGTTTGTGACTTCTAATTTTCTTACTCTCCCTCTTTTCCCAGTGAGAGATATGTAGGTCAGGGGTCAGCAAACTTTCTGTAAAGGGTCCGATAGTATTTTAGGCTTTACAAGCCATAAGGTCTCTGTAGCTTCTCAATTCTGCCATAGTAGCCCAAAAGTAGCCACAGACAATACATAAACCCTGTGTTCAAAAAAAAAAAAACTATGAAAACTGAAATTTGAATTTCATATACTTTTCATATGTTAAAAAGTATATTAATCTTATGCTTTTTCAAACTTAAAAAATATATATACATCAATTTAGCTCATGGAACATAAACAGGAAGCAGCTGGATTCGGCCTTCTGATCTAGGCAAAGAGAATTAATTTGCAAGTAGGAATAAAATTTTTTTCTAATACTGTAAATTGATGTGCTAGGTTCTGAATATTAAGTGTGGATACAAATGATGTTCTTCTTCATGTAAAATGGTAAGATTCCTGCTTCCATTTAGTATGCCTCAGTCAAAATATGAGGTATATAGTTGTAAAGAAAACACAATCCTTAAATGCTTCTAGTAACATTTTAACCTTTCCCTCTTTTTCCCTCAGAGTGGATAACTGAATTTGTGATTACTTCACGATTTAAATCTAAGCCCACCCTAAACTTTCTGATGTGATACCTGGAACTAAACTCTCTAATGATGAATCCACTAGGAAATGACAGCTGGAAAACTCATTAGACTCAATTTTTTAATTTGAGTCTTTTTGACAAGTTTTTTGCCACCTTAATTTGAAATGATTATCTGACCACCTGTTGACAGCTTAAAGCTAACTTCTAAGAGAAGCTTAGATCAAATATTTATTGAATGAAATTAAGGAACACTAAATAATAATGAATCCCAACTATGATGTAAATGTATTCAATTCCATTAATACCTATTTAAAGGGGGGTATTGTAGTTAACAGTCAATCATGTTCTACATAATGAATTTCTTAAAATTTCTCTCACGGATATCAATAATGTTATTTAGTTAGTGTCGTTTATATTCCACAAAAAATAGATACTTGATCTCTAAAATTTCTTTAAGTCTTAAGAAGTTTTCTACTTAGACTTGCCTTTACATAGCTGTTGTTTGTAAATTTGAGTCTGACAGTCATCTCTAGAGCATAGACTCTGGAGTTTGACCACTTGGGTTCAAATCCAAACTCTGCTACTTTTAAGTTGTATTGACCTTTGGCAATTTACTTACTCTTTCTATGCCTCAGCTCCTCCATCTATTAAAGTGGAGAAAATAATACTAGCACTGTTGTAAAGATTAGATAATGCACAAAGCATGAAGCATGGTGCTTGGCACATGCTCAATAGTTGTTAGCCATTATTTCTGTACTATGGTTATAAAATGTTAAGACTTAATTCGTGTAGATGAAAGTCTTGTACAGACTTTTGTCTCAGAAAGGAAATCACTGGGACGATAGGAGATAACCTCATCAATTTATAATATTTCTATTATCAGTGAATTGTTGTCATTAGGTTATCTTTCACCATTCCCTTTGACCAAATAGGATCAGTTAACTTCTAAATTTGGCCTATTGAACATAGTATGGCAATAGTAAGGGGAAAATATTTACAAACATAAAAAAGTTTTATAATTTATTTGCCAAATCGAGTGCATGCAATTCCTATAATATTAAGGTGGGCTCAAACAATTTCAAAAATGTTCTATTAGTTAATTCCATTAAATGCATCATACAAGGTACTGAGAACAAGTAACTGTTTCTTTTTTAAAGACTGAATACCTAACTTTGGCAGCTGAGTACAACAAAGCCTTAACCATTGGTCTAATGTTCTCACAATTCTTTGAATAGATTTATAGATTGTACTTAAAATGCTAATACTCATCTGAGGAATACTAATAGATATGAGAAATAGGATGCAGCCTGGTAGAGTATATATAGAACTAGACTTAAATAAAATTTTTAAAAACACTTGTGTTCGATGCCTTGGTTTTCTCAATTATCAAAGATGGTTAGAAGTACTGGAAAGATGAAGATGTACTCCTGAAATTAATACTTGCTCACTCAAATAATATGAAGTTGTTACCAATCTTGTTTCACATAACTTTCCACCCATAAAATTAACATCTGTCGTAATGGAGATTGGCTAGGAAATCCCTTAATTTCCTTGAGAAACTATGTCCCATGCCCAGTGGACTAGGTAACAGTCATACAAGGCTGAGATTCTACAAATATCCATCCTATCCACTTCTAAACTCTGAGCAAAAGCCTGGTTATACTAAAAGCCTTTGAAGTTTCAAAAGAAACTACATCAGGTCTCACAGGGAAATTCCGTTTAAAATGTATCCATTCCAGTTTCCAAGGTTTCATCATGAAATGAGTTCATATTTGAGGTGAAAGGTGCTGTTTAAGTATTAAATTTTATTAACTTACTTCTTTGAATTTGTCATTAAAGCAGGTTAATACTCTGCTCTGGTTTATCCTAAGTGTGGCTCACAGCTGGGAACTATAACACCTTGATCAAGGTTTGTCTCACTTTCCACTGCTCAAAACAGGCACTGAGTCCTTAATATTAAGAGAGTGACATTATCACAAGTCGGGTTTTACTCACCACAACCTGCTAGTAGAAGGAAATATATCCACTTGTCTGGGCTTGTATTAAGAAGACATTGGGAATAAAAAGGAACATTTTATGAGAAGAAATAATAGACTTGGATATTAACACTAAATGTCGTATTCAAAATGGCATTTTATAATGTGTTCGAGTAAAACACTGTAATAAGAGAAAAACCACAAGACTTAATATAAAGTCTAGCTTTATTTTTGAAAAGATTTTACAAGTCTGTCAGCCTCAAATATACACAGGTAAATTATTCATATCTTCCATCAGATGAGGCTTCCAGTTTCAATTCCTCTCGGGAAAATATAAGTAAAAAATAAATCTCTTTCCACAAATACTCACTATATTACTCTGCTTAGTTCTGAAATTTTCTCTTTATAAATCCTTTAACACAGCTGCTAGTGGTGGTGCTTTTGTTGTGCAGCTGCATATGACTATAATTTTACAAGTCTGCTTTACTTTTGCTAGTCTCTAGTTCGGCTCCAAGGTCCAAATCTTATAAAGGAGAAGCAAAGGTTAACTGGCCTGCCAGAAGAGCCCACTGAATGCATCCTGTAGTGCTCTGTGACAGGCCAGAGAAGAAGTATAGCCTCCAGCAAGGTCCTGTGGTGAGGCAGCTCTGACATGATTTAAATACCTAAAACAAAAAAAAATTGTAGCACTGATATAGAAAGCGTACATAAAAATTGATAACATTTTTAAAAGCAATAGTAAAGTAGATACAAATTTTAAAGAGGAATCTGATTTGAAATGTTCAGGCTTTATAAATGCATTATCACCTTTTAAAAGGAAAACACCAACTGTACATAGAATGCCTAAACTAGTTCTAAATTATAAAGCAAATTACTTTAAGATCACAAAACAGCTTTAAACGACGTTTCAAAAATAATACTTGCTACTAAAATGTTCAGTTTCCAATTTTCAGAACTAATTTGTTTTGTTGGCTGTTGTTTGGACACTAAACTGCCACTCTCCTTCCTGACATACTATTAACGTACAACATCATAATATTATTGTATTACTAATATTTTTACATATTGAGTATTTTACAAATACTTAAATAATTGGAGGTGGGGAGAGAACATACTAGTTCCTTCAAAATTACTTTAATATTACTGAGCCTGAGTTCAAAATAAATGTTCCAATTAGTAAATACAGAAGAATCTTTAGAACTGATCGTAAAAGGCAGCGTAAAAGACATTATGTTTCTTCAATCACATACACGTTATTTAACAAAACTTTCTACCTTGATAAAGGTAGACAAACAGGTCTAAAAAAATGGGACAATCCTAGCTAACGAGGGGCAACTTGTTAACAAGACTACCAGCATTGTTGGAAAACAAGTATTCCCAGCTTTGCTTAAATGCCTTGTTTAAGAAATCACATTGTTTCTTCAGGCCTCAGGAAGTAAAGGAGCTTCACTTGCCTTAGAATTACTGGTATGGCAAATGAATAAATCAGGTACCAGAACATTTTAATAACTTGGAAACTTTTCTACTCATTCATTCAAACTTCCTGTGTGTCAAAGTCTTGATGCATGAGCAACTTATTATTTCTAACATAATAACAAGTCTGTTTTTCATTTGTTTCCATGTTTAATAACCTTGTGTGATTAAAAAATATATGGCAATATAAGAGGCCAAGCAGAAAAGGTGGTCAAAGTAAGACACGGCATAAGCTCCTGGAATTAGCTATAATTTATTCACATTGCCACAAATCAAGGTGTTAACTCAATTCTTTGCTTCTCTGCCAAGGGTGAAAGGGCAACAATCTATAAACTCTTTTAATAGTATTTATAGCAGTAAAAATATTTGAGCATGCATCTCCAAAATAATTATATAATACATAATTATGTATATATATCACATACTAATATAAAATATGGAATAGAAATAAAGGATGAGATAAAAATACTTAAATATAAATTCTAAAAATTTCTCCCTATATCCCATCTTACATCCCCTGGTGGGTGTGATGCATCCCACTTTGGAGACTATTATTAAATAGTCATTGTCAAACTCTTGATAGAACCTTAGGTCCCATAGGATTTAAACAGGAATTCACCACATCTAGTGCATGGCCAATAAAGATATCTGTTTATTACCTCCCAGGACACAATAAAATGTCAAACTTAAGATTTTGATGCATGAGAAATGAGGTAAGTGTTAAATCACTTCAGAAAGTCTAAAAATCAACCTACAACAGCATAAAATCACTGGGAACTCAATAACTGTCACACAAGTAATAAGGGAGTATATATTTTTACAAGTAGCTTGGTAATGCAATTTTTCATTCCTGATACAAGTTTCCAGCTAATTTTTAGCCACACTCTAGATACTGTTGTATCACCCTTCTTCCATTCCTCAGACCCTCAAAAAAAAAAAAAAAAAACATAGTCTTAGCTCCAGTGGCTGTTCACTCATGGCAAAATTCAAGTACCACAGAGGAATGTCTGTCAGCTTTAAGAAACCAACCACCATAAATGAGAACTGGTTTTCATAGCTGTAATATAAACTACTATGCAACTAGCTGTTTTGATCCATCACATTTTGGTATAACTTGCTTCTGGGAAAGTTGAGTCATACCATCTCTGGCTCGGCAATTCAAGCATAAACCTGCAGTGTACGTACAGCTTTTTATGTGTTATCCTGAGAAACCTGAAACAGCTGTACTGCTGGCAGGAAAACACAGGGCCACCAGTAAAATACCCCAAACAGTTGCATCTTTTAATTTATGACTGTGCACTGTTTCTATAAAGAGTATATAAAACAGTTCAACTTTTTATAGGTAAAATGTAATAAACAGTCATACTCGTTGATGCCATAAATGTGTAAAAAAAGGTTTATTTAAAATGATTAATTAGTGTTTGAAAATAGTGTTTCTTGAACAGTCATAATCCAGAGCAATGAGCAAATATTTTTAGATTTGAGTTATTAATGCTAAGTTGCAGATTCTCACTGCCAAGCCCAAGTCAATTAAAATTTCTTTGCATAACACTGAAGAAAACGTATTTCCTTTCTAGCAATCATTTATATTAAACATGTCTGTGAGAATGATTATTTAAAGATCTGGCTTTTTACATTGCTGTTTTTGATCTCTAGGGCTGCACAAAACAGTTACTGTTAAATATTTCAATCTATTTTCACCATGGCAACCTACATTAATTCCAATTAAAAAAATAAAACATAGTTCATTCTTGTTATTCAACTGTGGGCTTTTATTTTCTAGGTATCTTAACGTTCTTAAACACTTTAATTATTGTGGTACACCAAAATAGTTAAAGGATCTGCCACACTGAAACCACACAATGAGAATTTTGTGTTTTGCCTACTTTTTCACATTAATCCACATCTGTGTTGTTTTAATTCTTTCATAACCGTTACAAGTACATCACTGAATAGGATTCCTGGGGTTTCTGGCAGAGGTCAGTATCATTTCATATACACCTTTATACAACAGAATGAGGAAGAAGTCTTAGCCAAATTTATTTCCAAAAGTCAAGCTCAGTTGGATTCTGGAGCCCAGAGGTAATTGCTCTGACTATTTAGCCAATCCCAGGGCAGTATTTCTGTTTTTCATGGGTTTATTTTAAATACCTGTAAATCTTATATGCAGAAACCAGAGCGGAAAAAAAGTTTGCTTATTTTGGTACCTATGCCTTATTTTTACTGAAAGCAGACTAAACTCAAAGATTTAAAAATCATACCTTTGATTATTTTAATAAGGCTAAAAAAAAGTATGTTTTCAAAAGCATGTCTAAAATAATCTCTATACAAAGAGCATCTTATGCCCTAATTTATACTCCATCTAAAGTTGCCTTCTTTTGCCATCACCCATCAAAATCCCTTCCAAATAGACTTTGGAGAAGAGGGAGGAAAGAAGGCAATGGATGGATCCTCAGAGGGGAGTATCAGAGGATTAAGCATTAGAAAACCAGACTTGAAGTTTTTTCCTGAACTTTGATTTCCTGCACTGTCATTTTCTTCTGTTACATTTAGCAGCTTTTGCTCCCAAAGAAGGTGATATAATTTACACTTAGCTTCAGAAAGACTTCATTTTCTCAGTTCTTTAACATAAGAGAGTTCCTCTGAGATTACGCTTTTACCATTTCCCTTGCTTTAAAAGCCCTATATTGACCATCTGGCTGAAGCCTTGGACTCAGCTTATTTTAGTGCTATTCAACAACACTGAGTTCTCAGCTAGGGGCACAGGGCAGGGGTCGTCATTTAAACCCAAGAGGCAGCACTCTTCCCCTCCAGTCATAACCTCCTGACGAAAACCCTTGAAACACTTTGGCTCCAGAGAATCAAAGAATCTTGGAATTTAAATTGAAATGAAAATGTGAAGTTCATATTAGTTTCCTCTACCTCAAATTACCAGGCCCTGTGGAGAGTTAAAAGAAAAAAATACCATAGAGTTAAAAAAAACTTGGACTGGTTTACACTAAGAAAGGGAGTGAACTCTAGAGACTAAGACTTCATTTTTACAAGGTGGCCCATTTTTTAAAGTCTGTATTTAAAGCCATCATGCATTAAACAGACGAGTTCCAAGTAGTTCTGCCTCCCAGCCTACAAAATTCAAATATAAGAGCCATTAAGAGAGATCAGCTGTCTGATCTCTGCTGTCAAGACCAAGAGCTCTTATAAGAAATTCAGCCAAAGCTATAAAAGATTTACATTAACAACCCGAAGAATATCTCAATGAGATTTAAAAACAATCATAGCAATAGTGTGCTCAGATAATTACCACTAAAGAGCAGAAACATTCTGAAAACTGAGGTTAGTGCTTAGGTATCCTAACCTAATCATGATGTCAGAATAATAGACAAATTATTTACAGAGGGAAACTGATGATCAATATATTCTAAGATAAATGGGGAAAGCACTACAAGTCAAAACTGTCCATAATTCTGAAGGCAGTTTGGTTATAAAAACACATGGCTTCATGCACAAATATAACAAATTTCCACAAATTGTCACGATGTTACTCTTCGCTTTATTATCTAGCCAGCAAGTGAGAACACAATTAGAATAAACTCATTATTAAAGCTGATTTCAGATTTATAGTAAATCACTTGGAAATCAAGTAACCAATTATTCCAGACATTTAAACCATCCAAACACCAAAGCTCAGATTTGGAAATTAAAAGCCACATGTTGCCTAAGTGTACCACTAAAATACAAATTGCTCAAGTGAGCCTTTTTGAATTATAACTGAAGTAAACTGTGAAATTTACTGCTATCAAAGAACATACTAGGTCTTTTAGGACAGTATAGCTATTACTGAAAGTTAACGTAACTACACAGTGAAAGGAATACGTCCTTGATCTGAATGTGAACTATCCAACACATAGAAGATATAGCTGTAACATATTCTATGAACAATTGGCAGCTGGTGGTTCTGAATATCTCAACTGATAGATCTCTAAGAATAGATTCCATCTATATAATATAGACAAATTCAGGAATATCTCCGGAATCAGGCGCTATGAGATAAATTTGAAAAGAGCCATGAAAACAGTAGCCAATAGATCAAATTATTTTTGAAAAATTTTAGATATATTCCTCAACACCAAAAGATGTTTATCTCAGCAATAATTATTATAATATGCTTGACTAATTTCAGTATTGTTCTTAT